TAATAAAAGAAAGTTCTTCTTCACACAGTGCATAGTCAACCTGTGGAACTCCTTGCCAGAGGAGGCTGTGAAGGCTAGGACTATAACAGAGTTTAAAGAGAAGCTAGATAAATTCATGGAGGTTAGGTCCATAAAAGGCTATTAGCCAGGGAGTAGGAATGGTGTCTCTGGCCTCTGTTTGTCAGAGGCTGGAGAGGGATGGCAGGAGACAAATCGCATGATCATTGTCTTCAGTCCACCCTCTCTAGGGCACCTGGTGCTGACCACTGTCGGCAGACAGGCTACTGGGCTAGATGGACTTTTGGTCTGACCCAGTATGGTCATTCTTATGTTCTTATGTTCTCTCCCCTCCTCTCTTTCTGACTACAGCTTAGAGAATCTCTATCAATGGATTCTCCTCTAAGAGAAGTCTTCATACGATTTACGTGCATCTCCACACCAATTGGCTTTCCCCCATCTCTTAGTTTAAAAACTGCTCTATGGCCTTTTTAATGTTTAGTACTAGCAGTCTGGTTTCACCATGGTTTAGGTGGAGCCCATCCTTCCTGTATAGTCTCCCCCTCTCCCAAAAGTGTCCCCAGTTCCTAATAAAGCCAAATCCCTCTTCCCAACACCATCGTCTCATCCACGCATTGAGACTCTGAAGCTCTGCCTGCCTACCTGGCCCTGCGCGTGGAACTGGAAGCATTTCCGAGAATGCCACCATAGAGGTCCTGGAGTTCAGTCTCTTTCCTAGCAATCTAAATTTGGCCTCCAGGACATCTCTCCTACCCTTTCCTACGTCATTGGTACCTACATGTACCACGACCACCGGCTCCTCCTCAGTACTACACATAAATCTATTTAGATGCCTCGAGAGATCCGCAGCCTTCGCACCAGGCAGGCAAGTGACCATACGGTTCTCCCGGTCATCACAAACCCAACTATCTATGTTTCTAATGATCGAATCACCCACTACTAACACCTGCCTCTTCCTAACTGGCATTCCCTCCCCCTCAGAGGTACCCTCAGTGCGAGAGGATACCGCAACATCCTCTGGGAGGAGGGTCCCAACTACGGGATGGTTTCCCTCTGCTCCCATTGAATGCTCT